TGCTCTATCCAGCTAGGCTCTCCATTAAAATAAAAGGGGAAATACGGAGTTTCCCAGACAAGAGAAGACTAAAAGAATATATCTCTACCAAACCAGCACTCCAAGATATGTTAAGGGGACTGATTTAAGCAGATGAAGGAAATGAATGAGAGAGAGAGGAACACAGGTACAAAGAGAAAAGATGAGTAAGTTTTTATCAATAGTATCTCTCAATGTGAATAGACTAAATGCCCCAATCAAAAAACACATGGTAGCTGAATGGATAAGAAAACATGACCCATACATATGCTGCCTACAAGAGACCCACCTCAGAGCAAGAGACCTACACAGATTGAAAGTAAAGGGATGGAAAAAAATATTCCAAGCAAATGGGCATGAGAAAAAGGCCATGGTTGCTATACTTCTATCTGACAAGGTAGATTTCAAAACAAAGGTAAAGAGAGACCCAGAGGGGCACTTTATAATACGTAAAGGAAGAATCTATTAAGAAGACATCAACATTGTAAACTTACATGCTCCCAATATAGGACCCCCAAGTTTATAAAAAAATTCTCGGATGACTTCCAAAAAGATATAGACAGCAACACACTGATAGTAGGGGATTTCAACACCCCACTCTCAAAAATGGACAGATCTTCCAAACAAAACATTAATAAACATATTGTGGTGCTGAATGACTCACTGAATCAAAGAGACTTAACTGACATATATAGAACCTTACATCCCAAAGAAGAAAAATACACATTCTTTTCAAATGTTCATGGCAGTTTTTCAAAGATAGACCACATGATAGGACACAAAGCAAACCTCAGCAAATTCAGGAAAATTGAAATAATACCAAACCTTTTCTCAGACCACAAGGCCTTGAAACTCGAAATCAACCTCCAAGAGAAACTTCAAAAACTTGCAAACTCATGCAGACTGAACACTAGACTATTAAACAATGAATGGGTCAATAATGAGATAAGAGAAGATATCAAAAAAAATTCTGGAAACAAATGAAAATTAACAGACAACAGTCCAAAACCTATGGGACACAGCAAAGGCAGTCCTGAGAGGGAAGTTGATAGCAATACAGGCTTACCTAAAAAAGATAGAAACATTTCAAATAAAAGACCTAACACTACAACTTGAAGAACTGGAGAAACAACAACAAATAAATCCCAGAGCAAGTAGAAGGAAGGAAATAGTCAAGATTAGAGCAGAACCGAATGACATAGAGACAAAAAGAACAATTCAGAGGATCAGCCAATACAGAAGCTGGTGCTTTGAAAAGATAAATAAAATTGACAAGCCTTTAAGCAGACTCATCAAGAATAAAAGGGAGAGGACCCAAATTAATAATATCAGAAATGAAAGAGGAGCAATAACAACTGATACCACAGAAATACAAAGGATCGTCAGAAACTACTATGGACAGTTATATGCCAAGAAATTTGAAAATCTTGATAAAATGGACAAATTTTTAGAAAAGTATAATCTTCCAACACTGAAGGAGGAAGAAACAGAAAGCTTGAAGAGACCGATAACAGCTGTGGAAATTGAAACAGTAATCAACAAACTCCCGGCACACAAAAACCCAGGGCCGGACGGTTTCACAGAATTTTACAAAACATTTAAGGAAGAGCTAACCCCTGTCCTTCTCAGACTATTCCAAAAAATCCAAGAGGAGGGAAGACTCCCAGACTCTTTCTATGAGGCCAGTATCACCCTGATCCCAAAACCAGATAAAGACCCTACAAAGAAAGAAAACTACAGGACAATTTTGCTGATGAACTTAGATGCTAAAAGCCTCAACAAAATATTGGCAAAGTGTATTCCAGCAATACATTCAAAAGATTATCGACCACGATCAAGTGGGATTCATCCCAGGGATGCAGGGATGGTTCAATATATGCAAATTAGTAAACGTGATACATCACATAAATAAAAGAAAAGACAAACACCACATGATCATCTTGATAGATGCAGAAAAAGCTTTCAATAAGGTATAGCACCCATTTATGATCAAAACACTCAGCAAAATGGGAATAAATGGGGCCTTCCTCAATGTAATAAAGGCCATATATGAAAAACCTACAGCCAATATCATACTCAATGGGCAAAAACTGAAAGCTTTCCCACTAAGATCAGCAACAAGACAAGGATGTCCGCTCTCACTGCTTCCTTTCAACATTGTATTGGAAGTCCTAGCCATAGCTAACAGGCAAGAGAAAGAGATAAAAGGCATCCAAATAGGAAAGGAGGAAGTAAAGCTATCATTGTTTGCAGATGACATGATAGTGTACATAGAGAACCCTGTAGACTCTACCAAAAAACTCCTGAACCTAATAAGTGAATTTGGCAAAACAGCAGGATACAAAGTCAACATTCAGAAATCAAAGGCATTTTTGTACACTAGCAATGAAATAGAAGAAGAAGAAATGAGAGAAAAAATACCATTCGATATAGCAAGAAGAAATAAAGTACCTAGGCATAAATTTCACCAAAGATGTAAAAGACCTGTATGCAATAAACTATACAACATTGAAGAAAGAAATTAAGGAAGACACAAATAAATGGAAGCATATACCGTGCTCATGGATTGGAAGAATTAATATCATCAAAATGTCCATACTACCCAAAGCAATTTATAGATTCAACGCAATCCCTAGTAAGATACCAATGACGTATTTCACAGAAATAGAACAGACATTTCATAAATTTATATGGAACCATAAACGACCTCGAACAGCCGCAGCAATTTTGAGAAAGAAACTCAAAGTAGGAGGGATCACTATACCGGACATCAAACTCTACTACAAAGCCACTATACTCAAAACAGTCTGATACTGGCACAAGAACAGACCCATAGACCAGTGGAACAGAATAGAAAGCCCAGAAATAAGCCCAGGTCTCTATGGGCATCTAATATTCGACAAAGGGGGCAGAAGCATAAAATGGAGCAATAATAGCCTCTTCAACAAATGGTGCTGGGAGAGCTGGACGGCTACGTGCAAAAAATTGCAATTGGATCATCAGCTGACACCATACACAAAAACAAACTCAAGATGGATAAAAGACTTAAATATAAGTCTCAACACCATCAAATTCCTAGAGGAGAACATGGGCAGGAAACTCTCAGATATCCCACGCAGCAATTTTTTCACTGATATGTCTCCTAAAGCAAGGGACATAAAGGAAAGAATAAACAAGTGGGACCTCATCAAAATAAGAAGCTTCTGCATGGCAAAAGAAAACATCAGCAAAATGAAAAGGGAGCCAACCATATGGGAAAATATATCTGCTAATGATATATCAGATAGAGGTTTGATCTCCAAGATATGTAAAGAACTCACTCGACTCCACTCCAAGAAGACAAACGATCCAATCAAAAAACGGGCAAAGGACCTGGGCAGACGCTTTTCTAAGGAGGAGATACAGAGGGCCCAGAGGCATTTGAAAGGATGCTCAGCATCACTAGCCATCAGAGGAATGCAGGTCAAAACCACCATGAGGTACCACCTCACACCAGTCAGAATGGCCATCAGAAAGAGATCAACAAACAACAGGTGCTAGCGAGGCTGTGGAGAAAAGGGAACCCTAGTACACTCGTGGTGGGAATGCAGACTGGTGCAGCCACTATGGAAAGCAGTGTGGAATTTCCTCAGAAAGCTGAAAATGGAACTGACTTTTGATCCAGGGATTCCCCTGCTGGGACAATACCCTAAGAACACCAAAACGCCAATACAAAAGAACCTATGCACCCCAATATTCATAGCAGCACAATTGACAATAGCCACGTGTTGGAAGCAACCTAAATGCCCATCAGTAGATGACTGGATTAAAAAACTATGGTACATTTACACAATGGAATACTGCGCAGCAGAAAGAAAAAAAGATCTACTGAACTTCACCACAGCGTGGATGGAACTGGAGAGCATTAATCTAAGTGAAATGAGCCAGCGGGTAAAAGACAAATACCATATGATCTCACCTATAAGCGGAACCTAATCAACAATACAAAGATGCAAGGAAAATAAGACCAGCAACACTGAAAGGAAAAGAAACCAACAGAGACAAGAGGGAAGGAGGGAGGGGGTGGGGGAAAAGGAAGGGCAGGGGAAAGTCAAGGAACATATAGCAAGGACTCATGGACAAAATCAAAGGGGAAGAGCTGAGGGAGGGAATGAGGGAGGGGGCAAGGGAAAGTGGTGGGGGGTAGGCAGAGACAAATGTATTTGAAAAAATAAATTCAAATTAAATTACAAAAAAATTGAGACAATGAGAACCATCAGCGTTATACCATGCAGGAGATAGCGGCCATACTTATCTATGCTTATCATACTTATCATACTCAAAATATCTAAATCAATAAAGTTATTGGTGAAAATGAAAAATTTGTCTTTTATTTCAGGGAAAACCCATATGAACTTTTGGCCAATCCAATGAATAAAATCCCAGAGAAATAGAACCTGACCTGGTTTTATTGCTGCTTTGTTGAGAAGATTTCTAGCAAGCACACTTGACTATTTTTATGTTTGTCATATCTTCTGTAAAATGAGGTGACGATTTTTCTGGTGAAAAGGTAACAGAACACAGTTGTGAGGGTCAATGAACTAGGAGAAGCCAGCAAAATTTTGAGCCTCATGTCTTACTCCTGACCACTTTGCAGAAAATCAGTTTTGATGAACCTCTCCTTGTACCTGCCTTGCTTTCTTCCTTGGAAACGGCCAGAGGGATGACATCCTGGCTTTGTGGACAAGGTGTGAAGTATGGTTCACTTTCTGACTGTGTGCTCTTAGGCAAGTTCCTAACCATCCTGTGCCTGAACGTCCTAATCTGCACAATTGGGAGAGACTTATTCCCATGTTCAATAATGATTGGAAAGGGTTCAATGAGATGATCCATTCAGGTTCTCAGTAAAGAGTGGCTGGCAATTCTGGTGAAGAAACTGCTGAGCTTAGGCAAGAGTCTACCTCCCAGTTATTGTAATTCTCTCATCTCCCATTCCCTTCTAGTTGGCCATGGACAGAGTGAAGGGGAGAGGATGGTAGTGTCTGACTTCCACATTTTCATCAGGGATGTGTTACAGCATGTGGATATCATGCAGAAAGACTACCCAGGGCTTCCAGTCTTCCTTCTGGGCCACTCCATGGTAAGTAGACCACAAAAGACCCAGACCAAATCAGTCCTGTTGTGAGTAGGCAGTGTGAGAGCCCTATGACGAAGAAGAGGTGGCCCTGCCTCCCTGCCTCATCTGCTATCCCCATCTGGCTGCCATACTCCCCTCTGTGGGCCCTGCAGTTGGAATTCCTGGCTATTTAGTGCTTAGGAAACAGATGAGGTTCAGAGTCCTGGAGACAGCCCCAGAAAGAGCTCAAAGAAACACATTACTTCTCACCAGAGCCCAAGGCATCAAGAGGTTGCCCACCAGTCCTTAATGAGGAGCTCAGGTGTGGGGCATCTTGGGGAACTGATCTTTTTTTTTTAACCCCGTTTCCACCTCAGTGCTATTTCATAGAGAGGCTCTCAGGGGTACTTCTGCTCCCTGCAGAGCTACTTCTCAGAGTGGGGATGGTGCTTCAGTCCTGCCTGCTTGCTTCAGATCCGTATAGTACAAATGGGAACTAGGGACAAAGGCTCCCCATAGACCCAATTCCTTAATGGTCATTCAAAATCGTTTTCATCTTTTAAATTTTTAAAAACTTATAAGAATTAACCAAGTATAATCTTTAAATTGGGAGCTCTCAAACTGGCAGTGCCTGGGGCAAGTCTTCCTCTGACATCCTTACGTGTTGGCTGACAGAGAATTTGAACTGCCTGATTTTGAATTTGGGGAAACTTTTCATTCTGGGGCAGAGCTTCTGCCCCTTTATCATAGCCTGGCTCTGTACCTGCATTTCTCTTACCTGTAAGTATTTGCCATTTCAACCCTTGGTTCAAATTACCTGCAGCTTCAGCAAACAACCAAGGTCTCAGACCGCCAGCACCATCCATGTTCACTATATGTTTTTCTTGAACTATTACTGAACTGGAAATTGGGGAGAGTGTAGCAACCTCTTATTATCATCAGATTTTTTTAAATGCTTTTATTAAGCCTGACAGAATGGATTAATTGAATGTCTGCCAGCTTTTGGTTTGAAGCAAAGTAGGAATGTGTTATTGTTTAACTTACAGCCCATAAGTAGGAACCTTATTTGTATCTCTCTGAGATGTTTGCTCTTGGGGAAAAAAAAAAAGTATAATAAAATAATTGCAGGCTCAGTGTATCCAGCATTAGATGGTGTCTATTCCAAGGTACACTTCCTCTGGGTTCTTTGGCCAGGCTTAGGAGGATCTCATCCGTGGAACTCATTAGAAAGCATGTGCTGGTGGAAGCCAGCACACATCAACTCTGCCTGTTTTGCATTGCAGGGAGGTGCCATTGCCATCCTTACTGCTGCAGAGAAGCCAGGCTACTTCTCTGGCATGGTTCTCATTTCACCTTTGGTTCTGGCCCATCCTGAGTCTGCAACAACTTTCAAGGTAAATGGACTTCTGAGTCTGTGAAACTTCTGCAGCTTCCCTAGGACCTCGATTTATAGCTTGAATCTGGGGAAAGAGGCCAAAGTCCATTCTTGGACTTAATACACTATTGTGTTAAGTATTGGACAAATTTTGAACATTATTGCCACCGAGGTTCTGTAATTTCTAAATCAGGTGATTTTACCCCCAAAGACATAGGAAAAATAACTTCCTGTTTGTGCATGTTTTATTGGTTACATGTGTTAGGATTCCAGGAAAGTAACCTTTGTTAACAAGTTACATGCAAGGCTCAAGCTGATTTTCATTGAATATTTGCCAGCTTCAGTCAAAAGTACACAGTAAGTGGAATTGCAGGCTATTTGTAATTGCAACATAGCGTCTTGCTCACTGTCACTCACTTCCATCATAGAGCACTTTCCCCTCTGATTCCAACCCAGCCATCATTTTGTTTTCCTGGTTGTAATGTTACATAATGGCACATGTGTTTGCCTCTTGGTTCTGGGGCTTTCAGCTATTTTTAACAAGGCAAACAAAACAATAATACTACCAGAAGCAGAGCAGGTGCCTTCTTCCCCTGAGAAAGAGGAAACCAGTCCTCAGCAGGGCTGCTTAATTGTGAATGTGGGTTGTTGATATTTGATGAACCTGTCTTTGAGGAGCCTGAAGTTTTGAGAGTTAATACCTAATGAGAGTAGAGAATCCCCACCCTGTATATCTCCAAGGAATGCTCTAGTTCACCTGAGTGCTGGGTGAACTTCTGCCTCCTAAGCCAGTTCTGGGAACTCTCAGAGGAGCACGAAGGGTGAGGTGGTGGGTAACAGGGCCAGGGGGAACTGGACGGCCATCAAATGACAGCAGCGTCATTTAAATCAGTGGTACCCAACCTCCTTGGCACAAGGGACCGGTTTCATGGAAGACAGTTTTTCCATGGACCAGGGGGAAAGAGGGGAGATGGCCTTATAGCCTGGCACCAGATGCAGCTTAATTGTCACTTGCCACTCACTGATAGGGTTTCAATAGGAGTCTGCAAGCAATTGATATATTATGGTCTCTGTACACTCAAACATCTCTGCTAACGATAATCTGTATTTGCAGCTGCTCCCCAGCCCTAGCATCACCGCCTCAGCTCTACCTCAGATCACCAGGCATTAGATTCTCATAAAGAGCGCACAACCCAGACCCCTCACATGCACAGTTCACAGAAGGGTTTGTGCTTCCTATGAGAATCTAATGCTGCTGCTGATCTTACAGGAGGTGGAGCTCAGGCAGTAATTCAAGCAATGGGGAGCGGCTGTAAAAATACAGAAGAAGCTTTGCTCACTCACCTGCTGCTCTCCTCCTGCTGTGCGAGCCTGGTTCCTAATAGGCCGCTGACTGGTACCAGTCTGTGGCCTGAGGGTCAGGGACCCCTGATTTAAATCATTGCCTTAGCTCTGATGCCTTTGGTATTCTCCTAAGTACCCAGACAGGGTAGCACAGGACAGGAAATGAAACCTTATCAAAATGTCCTCAAATGTTTTGTTTTGTTTTGTTTTGTTTTTTCCTGCCACAGACTCTCTTGCCGCAGCCACAGACTTAATCCCTAGAGATGGACTGGCAGGTCCTGTGTATGAGCATTCAGTTAGATAGCTAAATTTTTACCAATTTCAAATGAGAGAAGGTTGAGCAAAAGAGAAATTTGGAACCATCTGATAGTTTAACCAGAGAACAATTTACTTAATTTGAGGAAGAAGAGAGATGGCTAGCTTTTTTTTAATTTTACTCAATTTTAAAGAAATCACCACCACCTTATTAAAACTATCATTAGTAAATTTCAGTGCAGTGTGGGACAGCAGTGGAGGTGGGAGCCACTGTGAGTCTGCCATGGAAAGAAACAGTCATCCACAGAGTCAGGTGGCTACTTCTTGGCCATTTAAATGTGCAAGAGGAGACATGACCTCTTAGACAGCTCCCATAGTGACTATAATTGCATAATGTGAACCAAATCAGTCAAGGGCTCTTGTCCAAGTAGAATAAACAAGACCAGGGTCACGGGGAGAGGGGAGTTCCCTCTGCCATTCACGTGCCTCAAGTCATGAAAATTTACTCAGCTCAGTCAGTGTCAAACATGCTCTGTGCTTATACTTGCATTATCTCATTTACCTCCCATCATCAACCTAGGGAGAGGTCACAACCTGCATTTTGTGGATGGAAGGAGGCTTAGATCAGATGAGTGACTTGGCAGGATCATACAATTTCTGTGATGGATTTGAATCCAAGGCTGTACACTCCTCACCTAGAGTGTTTCTCCATAGGAAAAAGTGGATGTATTCAACACTAGACACTTTCCCTTAGAGAAAAGCCACAGATGGTGGGCTTTTCAGATGATGTGCACAAGTTTCATGGCAGCTGAGCCGTGAGGTGGAGCCAGCAAGGTTTCCTCTCAGAGTCACTGGTGGAGATGGAATTTCTGGACAAGGCCACACCAACATACTCTTTCAGAGCCATGTGCTAATAGATCACCTGTTCAGATCTAGAGCCAGCTGGCACTGAGGGGATGTAGGTCTCTTCTTATTGACCAAGATGAATTAGATTTCCTGTTGCCCCCAAACCTGAGGGCATGTCCTCCCCACCATGGATTCTATTGCTACCCCTGGCTTTTGGGCAGTTTTGACAGAGTCTATGATTCATTTGTCTACCCAGCTCAGGTGACTTGATGACACTGTACACATCTTGTCCTGTGTGACAACCTTCCAGAGAAAGTCTCACTGAATCTTTTTTTTTAATTTAATTTTTTTAATGGTAATGTAATATATTTACACAGGTGAAGACTTCTTTCCCAAATGAAGGTGGACAGCCAGAATTACAGAGGAAGTGGGTACATCTTCTGCAGACACACATACACCCTCCATTTGCTCTTGTGTTTTACACAAATGGAACATGCTCCCTGCACTTCTTGTTTCATTGTTTACTTTTGGTTGGCTAATTTGTTTTTGTGAGTTTTAGGTTAAATTTGGTCACTTACAGAGCAGTTCCTCTTACTGCTCCTTTCCATCAGAAAAACAAAAGATCAATTATAGGATGAGCTCTGAATTAGTCAATAACTTACTATAAATGGTCTATAGGTTAGAAAAGGTATGACCAGAGAATGGGCTCTGACTGAGGTGAGGCCCTTGTACAAGATAGGCCCTGGATTAGGTGAGGTCCTGCTGTAGGATGAGCCCTGGATTATTTGAGGCCCCACTGTGGAATGGCCTCTGGATTAAATGATGTTGCACAGTGATGTGGAGTTTGGATTAGGTAAGGTCTTGCTGTGGGATGGGATCTGGATTAAGCAATGCCTCACTGACTGATCTTCAAGTCATTTATTTGCAGGGGATTGCTGTTATGGTCCCAAAGGTGGACAGATTCCTACAGGCCACCTCTTGCTGAGAAGGCTGAGGCTCAGGAGGGACCACTCCCTGGGTCAGTGGCATTGTCAGGGAGCCACAGAATGCATAGCCTCATGAGTCCTCTGACTCATGACTCCTCACGCAGAGCTCAGCTCAGAACTTTTCAAAGGTTTATTTCATGACCAGGTGTTCCTGCTGTGGAGATTCTTGAAATCATTGAAGCAGACAGTGTGAGATCTCAAGCTTTTTCATACAGAAGGTCATGTAGAAGGTGGCATAAGACTGTTGAAACAAGAAATGTCCAAACCTGACGAGAATTTTTATCAGTTTAGTGGAGCCAAACTGACAACACATGCCAGGGAAAAACATGTCAAATGCTCCAAAGAATAACAGTCTTGCCATTCCTTTTATGCATTTGAGATTAAGGAAGGAATTTAAGGAAGATTATATGGCAATAGAAGAAAACAAAGCTGGGTTCAGATTACAGGATAGTTAAGATTATTTGCATTCTTGATGGTTTTACCTGAGAAGGAAGGGTGTGAAAGGGGTGTCCTCAAAGGTGTAATTGACCTAGATGCACAGAAACAATGGATAGGGCTTGCTTAAAGCAAAGCCCTTTAGTAAAGAAGACATATGCCTAGGGTGTGACTACCCACCATGACTGCCCAGTTAGGAATTTATGATCAGATCACCCTGTGAGGTTACTTTCCATAGAACCCCTCTTTTTGTCCTCATCCCCTACCCTGAAATGGGAGAATGCCAGATCTCCCTCCCCTGCCCCTACCACCAATCCTGCACACATCTGGTTTTTACCTGGATTCTCTGTTTTCAACAAGCTGAGTTGAGCAGAGGCTTCTGGCCTTCAAACACTGTGCTAAGAATGCATTTTACACAAGGGAAATGAGAGCAGAAGGAATTTAGAAACAAAGATCTAATGCATCAGACCAAGTCTTGGCTGTTTATGAGGACATTTCATGGAGATTATGCTCTGGGGAAGGCAGGGCTGGAGTAATAACAGGGACAGAGGGGAAACGCATGGCTGCCCAAGTAGGAAGATGTCAAACTCTGAGCTTAACTGGGGTCTCCTCATCTGCCCAGGAGGACAACCAGGAATATGTAGAAAGCTGCAGAGTTCCTCCTTTTGCTGAGAGTCCCCAGGATCAGGATCAGAATACTCCTCGGCAGAGCCTGGGGTCAAGATGGGGCTCAGCCTGCTGGAAGACTAGTCTTCTAAATGACCTTCCTGCCTATTGCCTGGAGGTCATTTCCTGGGGTCCAGGGTCAGATGCAGGAGCCAACCCTTCCAGTGCTTACAGGTGCTTCCATCCTCCGCCAACAAGGGCACCTGGCCAAGTAGGGAGAAGTGAGTGGCCTTTATGAATGTAGCACTCTTGGCTGACATCTTCTCCATCACCATCCTATACAGAGGGAAAATTATTTCCAATTTATAGACAAGGAAATGAGGCCAATTGTCTCATTCAAGGTCATTTTGAGCCCCAGCTCTGCTAGCAAGTGTGGCAGGATGCTACCTTTCACCACAAAACTCACCCAAATCAGGTTACCTTTACTTTAGCCCAGTTCCCAACTGAATATCTCTCATCTGTTTTTAGTGACTAGCATCCAGAAGTC